AGCAGTGCTTAAATGTTCGTCTAATGAAGGACCTTATTACGCTAATCTTGTAGCGTCGAGGACACTCACTGTCAGCATTTAAGCACCATCCGTTGTTAGTCTGTTTTCGGTATACAGTCATTTCGAGTTGTCCTCGTCCATCGACAGCCACATCAAGAAAGGGTAGTACGTTTTGCACACTTAAGCCACACCGTTCTTCAAAGGTGTTTTTGAGACGTTCTAGTTGGTCAATGTCCCTAACTTCCACAAATATGTCGCCTATGTAGCGGCAGTAAGTGTCCGGTCTTATGTCGTCATTTTGTAGTATGTCGGGTTCTACGTGTCCCATAAATAAATTGGCGAATAGAGGTCCTAGAGATGAGCCCATTGCAACGCCCTCAATTTGGCAATACATTCGGCCATCAGGCCCGCGGAAAGGAGCTTCCAACGTGCAGGCGGTTAGTAATTATTCAAGAAGGCGCTTTGATATTTTGAGAGGAGGAATTTCAAGATGATTGTAGACTCGGTCAAGGATGATGGATACGGTTCTCTCAATGGGCACGTTTGTAAATATATTTTCAACATCTAGAGAGGCTAGTAGATCTCCCTTAGATTCTAGACAAGATTCTAGATCGTTCTAGATTCTAGATCTCCCTTAGATTGACGAGATCGCACTATATCAATAAACTCATCCGTTGAGGACAAGCTGTAAGCCATGGGAAGATATGGGGACAGAAGACCATTAAGACCTTTTGCAATTATATAGGTTGGTGAAGGGATCTGTGAAATTATTGGACGAAGGGGTTGCCGTTTTTGTGAGCTTTCACAGAAACATAAGCATAGCCAGGCGCAAATTCACCCGTTCTCTTGGAAAAGTGTATGCCACCAACAGCAGCACTGGCAGCAGTGATTAGTTTGTTAAGCTCGGTCTTGAGTTTGTCCGTTGGATCTTTTGTGATGCGCCGGAACTTCTTGTCGTCGTTCAGGATGCAGTTTAGTTTCTCATGATATTAAATTTTGTCAGGCACTACGTAGAGTAATGATTTGTCCGCTCGCCGAATGATGATGCCTTTTTCTCGAAGTTCCTTTGCCGCCGTCCTGAGTTCTTGTGTGAATATCTTGCTCCTATCATTTCCACGCTTTTTCGTGCTCTCTCCCAGTAAGCTGTTCTTTAGATTCTTGTCAACGGTAACATTGTCCTCTTTTTCCAAATTCAACATATCCTGGTAAATAATTTCTAGTTCTACTTTCTTTTTAAGCTTCTCATATTTCGACGACATATGGCAATTAAGTCCAAGATTAAGCACCTCTTTTTGCTCCTCAGCAAGATCATGTTGAGATACGTCTTAATGGTCTTCTGTCCCCATATCTTCCCATGGCTTACAGCTTGTCCTCAACGGATGAGTTTATTGATATAGTGCGATCTCGTCAATCTAAGGGCCTACTAGCCTCTCTAGATGTTGAAAATATATTTACAAACGTGCCCATTGAGAGAACCGTATCCATCATCCTTGACCGAGTCTACAATCATCTTGAAATTCCTCCTCTCAAAATATCAAAGCGCCTTCTTGAATAATTACTAACCGCCTGCAAGTTGGAAGCTCCTTTCCGCGGGCCTGATGGCCGAATGTATTGCCAAATTGAGGGCGTTGCAATGGGCTCACCTCTAGGACCTCTATTCGCCAATTTATTTATGGGACACGTAGAAACCGACATACTACAATATGACGACATAAGACCGGACATTTACTGCCGCTACATAGACGATATATTTGTGGAAGTTAGGGACATTGACCAACTAGAACGTCTCAAAAACACCTTTGAAGAACGGTGTGGCTTAAGTGTGCAAAACGTACTGCCCTTTCTTGACGTGGCTGTCGATGGACAAGGACAACAACTCGAAATGACTGTACACCGAAAACAGACTAACAACGAGTGGTGCTTAAATGCTGACAGTGAGTGTCCTCGACGCTACAAGATTAGCGTAATAAGGTCCTTCATTAGACGAACATTTAAGCACTGCTCTGATTGGACAGGACTACGTTCAGAATTGATAAGAATCAGACAGATCTTGGTGAACAACGGTTTTTTTTCTTCAAATTTTGACGTTGAAAACGAGACACAACGACATACGACAAGACACTTTGAAGGCAAACCAAGGCAAGACATCCAACCAACCGTCAAACTGTATTATCAAAATCAAATGACATCTGCCCACAAACAAGACGAAAAAGTTTTACGGGAAATTATCTTTCGACATGTTAAAGGCAAAAACGACCACAAAAGGGTATCGTCATTTACTATCGTAATAAGAAAATATCTAACTTTCTTATGAGAAACAGCCCAGACAAACCCGACAATCTAAAATGCACCAATGTAGTGTATCAATTCCAATGCAACATCGAACGCTGCAAACTTCGTTCCATACACTACATTGGTGTGGCCACAGCGACACTCTCACGACGCCTGACAGTACACTTATGTGACGGGGCATCTCTGGACCACATGCGACACGAACACGACATGGCATTGACACGATCACAACTGACAGACAGCACTGACATTTTACGGACGTGCAGTGACAGAAGACGCCTTCAAATTTGGAAAAGCATATTCATTAACGAACTCACTCCAGCTTTAAACAGACAGACAAATTCTTGCACAAGTCTTGAACTACCAGGTGGTGGGCGGTGAGCACTTCTGATGTGATTGTGGCAATAGTGTTCCCATTGTGTCTTTGTAGTGTCCCCATTACGAGTGTTTCTTACATGTATAAAAATGAAAATAGGAGTCTGTCTTACTTCAGTTAGTTACGCTTCATTTATGTTCTCCGTGCCAAAATATGTTTTCCAACAGTAGTGCACAATGTTTCATCCTTTAAAATTAAAAACTCATGTCTTTGCCATTTAGTCTCCTCCGACGATGAGAAAGGATCTCGAAACGTTAGAAGAAAAGGAGTGATGAATATATGAGTAATTTTGTGCGAACCATCTTTAATCTAAGCGATGAATGCCCGGAAGCTAGAACGATGCATCAAAAAGGTCGTCAATGCTGAGCCAGCAGTTATTTTTAATCAGACATGTATCGAAGAAAGGATTTTTCCAAAATATTCCAATATATATACATATATATATAAATATATATATATATATATATATATATATATATATATATATATATATATATATATAGCATTATCTCGCGATGCATTTCGTAGTTAGCAACGTTGTACCCTCAGGCAAAAACACATGCAAAGTGCACACCACCATGGCTTAGTATACCCTCATAACACACACAAAATTGAAATGCTGCACAAGTGTATGCAACGGTACACAATTCACCCCCAGATATGCAGACATATTTCATGTCATCACAGATTTCAATGGATATGATGAAGTCATATTTTATTGCTAGACGTTTTGAAAGATGTGTATAGACTCCAAAAAACACAAATCAAGCGAGAAATGTGTCCTCTCAAGATAACAAATTTGCGAGCCAAAACTGTAGTGTCACATGTAAATGAATGTCCCCATATGTGAAAGGGGTCAGGTTTTGCAAGCAATTTCCCCGTTCGGGACGATTCACCGCAGTGCTGTTGAATGCAACTGAGCAAGTCCCGAAGAACCTATGTAGGATGCCTCGCAGCAAACAAGATAAAACTCGCATACGATACTCTGATTCTGGTGATGATGATTTGGGCTTTGGGGCGCGCCGACAACGTCAGTCATGTGGCACCCAGCATACGCCATTCTGATGATGATGATGATGATTTGGGCTTTGGGGCGCACCGACTACGTCAGTCATATGGCGCCCAGCATGCGGCATTCTTATGATGATGATGATGAATTGGGCTTTGGGGCGCGCCGACTACGTCAGTCATATGGCGCCCAGCATGCGGCATTCTGATGATGATGATGATGATTTGGGCTTTGGGGCGCACCGACTACGTCAGTCATGTGGCGCCCAACATACGGCAGTCTGTTGGCAGCATTCAGGTTATCTTTCCATATATGGGACAATTGTGGATAAGGCATAAGAAACACAACCGTTTTTTCAATCGATGGCAAACATTAAGGGTACTGACTCATTCTCTAAGGTACATTCCTGGGAACTGTTTCTGGCAAGATATCATCATCTCCGTGTTTCGACATAGCTTGCCATGTCCCTCTCGATATAGAAACAAAACAATAAAGCCTTCAAACTCTGAGAATGGCGCCTTGAGACCATTGTAATAAGCCAAGCACTGATGAAATTGTGATGAAATGTATATATATATATATATATATATATATATATATATATATATGTTGAAATAGCATGGGTCGTGTGTCCCCGCATGGACCTGTGCGGTGTCTTTATTTTGTGTGTCGTGTGCGCGTGCTAAATTATCACACTACGTGGGTGTTTTTGCCCGACGATGCAGACGCCGTGCGATGCGAAACGTGTCGTCAGTTCACGTAAGGAGGATAAATGAGTCGACATATTTGGATAAAATCACGACTTGGTCAGCAAGCTATATAAATATATATATATATATATATATATATATATATATATATATATATATATATATATGCCTTGATCGAATATAACTCAGAACTTTAAAACATCGCGCTGACAATCAGGAGCGATTAGTGGATTGATTCGGCAGCTCACTGCTTACTGTTGGCTTTTGAAAAAAGTAGTGTAACTGAGGAGGGATTGGGGCCTGTCAGATGTATGGTGAATCGACTCCTTTCGCTGACTGGGGAAACAATCCATGTCATTCTATCGTTTGAGCACAAGTTAACGAAGATTCCAATCCTTCCAGGTACTGTATTATCAGCCCCTGTTTCACTGCTTGCAGCAATGTTGATATCTCAGCTAAAAAGCCATAACACATCGGTGGAATAGATACCCTTCAAGATAATTCTAAGCTTAAAACACGATCGAACACATATCGTAGGCATAATTAGTGTTAAGTGTGGAAATAAGCCTGCAAAGAGCTGAGGAAACCGTGCAAGCTGAAAGGTATCACTTACCTGGTTTTTCCTAAATTCCGATATTGATAGTTCAAACAGCTGAGCGTTTTGGAGTCCTATCCCACAGAACACCAAGTACTTCTGAAACGTCTGAAAGCAGGCGAACATATGTCATACAAGTGGACCCATGTGCTTGCAGAATTTACTACAAGAGGAGCATGCTCAACGACCTTTTCCAGTGGGACAACAGGTCTAGGAACCTGCTGAGCAGGTCTGGTTTGTCCAAGCATTTGTTTTCGATCAAGCCGTTTTTAAGATAGCCGGTCAGTTGACCATATATATGTATATGTAGGTAAAATATATGCATGTGTGTGTATGTGTGTGTGTGTGCGTGTGCGTGTATGCGTGTGTGTGTGTGTGTGTGTGTGTGTGTGTGTATGTGTGTGTGTGTGTATGTGTGTGTGTGTGTGTGTGTGTGTGTGTGTGTGTGTGTGTGTGTGTGTGTGTGTGTGTGTGTGTGTGTGTGTGTGTGTGTGTGTGTGTGTGTGTGTGTGTGTGTGTGTGTGTGTGTGTGTGTGTGTGTGTGTGTGTGTGTGTGTGTGCGCGCGCGCGCGTGTGTGTGTGTGTGTGTGTGCGCGCGCGCGCGTGTGTGTGTGTGTGTGTGTGTGTGTGTGTGTGTGTGTGTGTGTGTGTGTGTGTGTGTGTGTGTGTGTGTGTGTGTGTGTGTGTGTGTGTGTGTGTGTGTGTGTGTGTCTGAACACAAACCCAACTCGGCCTAACGAAGTATTCAATGATTATAATTCCCGCGCTTTTCATGAGACCTCCCATACATCTGACAAGCTATGTTTTCGAATCGTCTGTGGTCATATAGGGCCTGCTGGGAGGCAGACGTTATCTCCTGCTTGCCCAACACGCGCTCGAGTGGGATCAATTTGACCGCCCCGCCGGAAGGTTTTTTTAAGAAAAACTTCCGGACCGTGCTTCGTGGCCGCCCCAAATTTTTCATAGCTGTAGACTTAAGTTGTTAAGAGCATTTGAGAGGATTATTGTGCATGTAAATGAAACAGTATTAATGATCTTATTCCTCGTAGAATACACAGGAATGGAGAGATAGGATGTGACATTTCGGCTGGATGCTTTGATCGAGACGAATATCAGTAGTAAATTCAAAGTTGCCTGCCAGTGCTACTCGATTTTTCTTCTTTTTTTTAACAAAAAAACTTAAGAACCTGAGACATTTGCGTCACAAACCTGAAAAGTCGAGTAGGGTTTGCTACTGATATTCGTTTCAAAAAAGCCACGTAGCCAAAACACACATCTATCTCTCAATTCCCCTATTTATTCTACCAGGAATAAGGCTATTAATACTGTCTCACATATAGCTGTAGACAAATAAATAGCAATTTTTCATATAAAAAACTTAGATGTACCTTATAAAGTCGCTGACCTATCGCATGTCAAATCAAGTTCATGGAATCAGCGAAGGCGATTTTCTGTCCTTCATGCTTCCAGTCCTTTAACCTGGTGCAACAAATGTCAACTGTTAATAACGGACTGTCAGACAAAACTATGCCCGTTTGGGATGTTTTCTTATGTAAACAAGTACCGAATAAACAGATTCCACTGGCCTCGGGTCAGGTATGAAGGTCAGACAAAGGTCAAAACCGACCGGTTTTTGTACCCGACAGCTTGCTGTACGGGGTAGTTTCTGGTGTCCACAGGGACCGCATACTACACCTTCCATGTACTTCTTAAGGGTCAGAATAGGTTACTGACCTCAAAAGACCGAAATCAACATTTTGTTTTGGGAATATGCCGTTTAGAGTAAGCCTTGAGCTTGATCAAAGGCAAAAATTGAGCGGGCATTATACGATTTTGGTCACCACGACCTTCTAAAAATCAAACAAGGTCACTGACCTTAAATGATCACCAGTGACTGTGTGCTTAGAACAGGTGTCTAGGATAAGCGCGGATGCGTGAAAAGGTCCGGGGCACTTTGGACGTTGACACAAGTGAGCTCACACACAGGCCAACACACCCCAGTCTGAACCGTAAATCTGCTCGCAGTGTGCCCAGGCTGATTTGTCAGACCCTCTTCGGTGTGCCCAGTCTGACCTGTGCGTCCGCGTCGGTGAACTTGGAGCACGACTGTTGTTTGTTGATGATCTGCGCCACTCCGATGACGTCGTCGGCCTGGTTCGTCACGGGCATGCAAAGCAGCGAGCCCGTCTTGTAGCCGGTCATCTCGTCCACCTCCGGGCTGAACCGACTGTCCTGACGACGCAGGCGGCACACACACGTACACACACGCGTTACAAACGTTAGGTCCCGACGCAGGCGGCACACACGTACACACACGCGTTACAAACGTTAGGTCCCGACGCAGGCGGCACACACGTACACACACGCGTTACAAACGTTAGGCCCCGACGCAGGCGGCACTCACACGTACACACACGCGTTACAAATGTTAGGTCCCGACGCAGGCGGCACACACACGTACACACACGCGTTGCAAACGTTAGGTCCCGACGCAGGCGGCACTACTCCTACTCCTACACTACTACTACACCTACTACTCCTACTCCTGCCGGCAGCAGGCAGAGTGCAACGGCAGGCAGTGTTTGGACAACACACAAATATCGAAAACGACAAAATGTCGAACGCAAAAATATGAACAGCAAGAAGTCGACAGGGATACAAGTCGAAGCTGAAAGAAGACGAATGATAAATGTCAGCATGGATAACGGATAAAAGTCAACAGCGATAAAAATCAAAGCGGCAAAAAGTCCGATGACAAAAAGTCTACCTGGAAAAATAGAAACGGTGAAAGGCCCCAAACGGATAGGATTCGACAGGCGTGTATGTCGATTTATATTATTTTGTGAGGGCCCTGGATCCCCCCCCCATGTTGACCTGCTCTCCGGTATCGCCTCGGGCCCCAATGTTTTTGGCCGTAGTACTACAAAAACACGTGGGTGAAAGGTGACCATAACACACAAGCTATCTTCTTTGATCTTTTTGCCCAGTGGCGTCTCGTACCACTCTCATAACAAAAAGTCATGGCTACTCTCACCACAAGATACAAATCGTGACAGCTGAGCGGATAAACGATGCAATAAGCTTCATATACCTAGCGTCATAAAACTTGCAATGGTTTGTGTGGTTACAGGAAAAAGCTCTGGAATATGGGAATGACCTAAGTCCTTCATAGCTAACCACGTCCCTGTCCCCCACAACCAAAATGCGTGCCGCCTCCCATGGCCACCATAGAAGAGCGCCATCGGTGCGCTATGGTAGTCTCTAAAGGGGCGCCTTCACGTGCCGATAGGAACAGACGCGTACCTCCGGTGTCTGTTCCCTGTATCCAGCCATGCATGACTTTTGTACCTCTTGAATTAGACTTATAAATCATATAAAGATTTAAAACGTATATTGTGTTTTATCAAAATAAAATGGACTAAATCCGGTGACAGAAAATGGCGGGGGGGGGGAGCGGTAGGTTGTCGGACCTTCGGTTCGGCCCCGCAATAATTTACAAAAATTGACAGCCCTGTCTGCAAAGACGAAAGGAAGAATAACACTTAGAGTCGGGGAATCGAATCAACAATGGGAACAACAAACGAGGGGCTGGTGTTGGTAAAACAATTGATGGCAACCAGAGAACAAGGGTCTAGTGTTTGTGAAAGCCAGTAGGAATCAAGTACTGGGCTCAAGTGTTTGTAAAAAACAATACAGTGGGAGCCAGAAAGCCACGTTATAAATTGTGAAAGAGCCACTGAGGTCAAAGAATCAGGATCCTGTGTTTGGAGCACACCCAATACGTTCATTAACTCATGTGTTCATTTACAAAAAGAACAGTGAGAACCAGGAGCCGGCGTTGCAAAGCAGCCAGTACGGTTCAGAGGCCAGGGGTAGTTTTTTATGAAATAACTAGCAGGACCCAACAACCCAGATCTCGTTTTCAGAAGGGGAAATTGGGAAGCGGGCACGTGTCTATCCAGCACCAGGACCGGTGAAAACAGGGATTGGCGCCAGGCGTCGTCGCTGACTGCCGCATCAGGATACTGGCAGGGTACCCACAGCAGATCGGCCCCCAACTAGCCCTGGGGCACATTCCGTATGGCTCGGAGCCCTGGGGCACATTCCGTATGGCTCGGTGGTTAAAGCTCGAGGCGGGCTGGCAGCCAGAAGCGTTTGTTGGGTGAGCACGGGCGGACCAAATTAGAGGAGCCAGGTATGGAAGTGGACGCCCTTGATTACCTACGGAATCTTCTGATTCGAGTTTTAACCCGGTTGGCTTTTATTCATTCTCACTTCTCGTGCTCCGACTTGTTCTGATTCGAACTTTATCCCTATCGACTTTTACCCTTTCGACTATTTTTCGCTCGTCGGCAGATCATAGATCTGTTTGACCTTTTCCATATGATGTTTCCATTCAACCCTTTGGCTCAACCACGGCAGTACAGGTGTCAAGTATAGCATATCAAAGCTTTGAAATAAACGGGTGAGACGTTGCCTCGAAAGAAGCAACCAAAGCGGAAGTGGTACTAACAGGGTAGGCGTCATTCTGATCCACTGTGTACTGGGAACGTAGTTTCAACTCTAGGCATGCATTCAGAAAAATTGCCAGATTGGTGAGTGTAACTGTAAGTCACTTTTCCTACAGCTGGAAACAACCATGTTGAGTGGCGTGGCCATTGTTACCATCGTCCGGATAATGAACAGGTCAACATTGTTCTTATATGTTATTCCGTATCACTTTTCCTCGATCATTTCAAGTTTTGTCACCGAGCACCTAAGCTTGCCCTGTCACAACATACAAGTCTACTGACGTCCCCCACTCACCTGGTACGCGTCTGCCAGGTTCACCACCTCCTTTGTCTGGGCCACATAGCCTGCAATGCCTTTGCCAAATGGAATGCGTATCTCGCCCGCCGGCTTCATCTGAACATTGGCTGGAACCAAGAGCCCGTCAACAGCTGACTCGATAATGCGACGTGATTATTTCAGCCACGGATCCATTTGGTATTCCTAAACAGACAGAAGCTAGTGATAACCACCGAATGATAAGCTCGCAGTTAATGGACCATGGTACACACTAAAAATTACATGTGCTCAGAGTCCCGTATAGTGAAAAATCGTAGCAAAATAATATCATCACTGTCAACACATACGGATAAGTATGTATATATATATATATATATATATATATATATATATATATATATATATATATATATATATATATATATATGTGTGTGTGTGTGTGTGTGTGTGTGTGTGTGTGTGTGTGTGTGTGTGTGTGTGTGTGTGTGTGTGTGTGTGTGTGTGTGTGTGTGTGTGTGTGTGTGTGTGTGTGTGTGTGTGTGTGTGTGTGTGTGTGTGTGTGTGTGTGTGTGTGTGTGTGTGTGTGTGTGTGTTTATCATAAGGTGCGTGATCGACATAGAGACCCAGGCAAGCACAAGAACAGATAAGCCGTTATAACGCAAGTGAATAAGGTGATTGCCAAGACCGGTAATGAAAAGATTACGACGAAATTACTAATGCAGAATTCTTTTGGTAGGCCGTTTTCAAGATGAAACTTAAAAACTTGCGCAGGAAAGGGCTCCTAAGTGATATATGCACATAGTAGTTAAGCATCCTCAGGTTTCTTAACGTTTTCTGTTTACTTGACCCCGCTCACTCCGGGCCATGAGCACAACGCATGGTGCATGCTATCTAGATAATCTTGGGTAACCAAAACCTTCAAATTTATTGAAAGTCAATGGTTAGGATAAAGGCACCCAATTCATAGCACCGATAAACCGGGAGATCAAGACCTCTCTTTATTGCATCATTTAAAACTTGCATTTTTTAATCATTTGGGTGCGCGGTAACTCTTAAGAATATCTTTACTTGGATGATAAATGGATAAGCATGCGTGGATAGCCAAAATGTTGTGTGAAAGAGCAGTGGAAGGTAGATCAGTTCAAGGGCTCCTCGGTGAGCGTCTGCATGCCTACACCAGACTGTCGCCGATTCCAGCTGTTTGCCAGCGATGGCCAACTGTCTAGTGTCATCCGCAGTGTCGACTCATGTCCTACGCCTGGCTTGCTAGGATCACTGCACTGTTTGGAGCCGGACCGGCGAGCTGGCGGTGTCTCCTCACCTGATCCGTCCTCGTCGTCGCCCATCACGTCGAACACCTTGGCCACCAGGTAGCGGTGGCGGCGCGAGCCCTTGGCGAGGAACAGGCTGCCACGGTCCGCGTTCGTCAGCACGCCCACGTTCTTCATAATCTTACGGCACAACTGGTCGATATCGAACTCGGTGGCGATGTCACGGATGAGCTCGATCATGAGCTCGTGCTCGTCGAGCGCGGCGCTGGTGGCGAGCGAACTGACGCTGGCCTGTGGCGAGCCGCGCCGCTCCAGCAGGTCGCGGAAGAGCTCGTCCGTGATCGAGTTACGGCTGCGGGTCATGAGCGGCGGCGCTGAGAGGCCGGCGCTGGCCGCCGGGCGCGGCCGCTCACGCCGCTGTAGCCACTGCTCGACGAACTGGGGCCGCTCGGTGAGGAATGCGCTGACCTGCTCCTCAGAGACCGGCGGTCGCTCCTCTGGCGGCTGGCTCATGGTGCTCAGGTGCCGGTCCAGAGTGTGCTCACGCCCACATGCCTGCCGGTGCAACAGCGTTTTACATCGATATGTACCGTCAGAAAAGCCGTTTAGTGGGAACAAACCGCAAACAATATGTCGTCAGCAGTAATGACAACAGCATGTATCTTCATACTCGGAGTATTTCAATGAACGTCGTCTGTCAATATGAATCACGGTTTGTTCGGTTCATTGTTGTATTGCATTTATGTTAAGGCCATATTTCAGTTAGATTTTATCTTGCATTTATGATTCAGTTAGATCAATGTCGGATAGTTCACCACGCCACAAATTAAGACAAACGGCGTGATAACATACATGTAAGCAAAGGATTGGTACATATGTTGTAAGACTTGAATCTAGGCACCTCTCCCCCCCCAAAAAGAGCAAGACAGAACACAGTTGTGTTGTGGTGTGCGCGTGTTATATTAATTTGAGCATGATAAAATCATTGTATTGATAGCTTGTAATGATCGTTAGTTGTTGGACCTAGGGCCTGCTAATATGATCATAAACGTCTTTTGTGACGTAATGCTGCTGAACAAAAACCACTGAAAACTTACCGTTACCGTACCGTAAGTTGCCAACATATATCCGGATGTTTCGGGCAGGGACGCTCATCCCGCCCGTTTGCTGCGTTTTTATTCAGATGACTTATTGGGTATATGGCACGGGTGTCGATTTGTGCTTTTTGGGTATGCCAATGTCACCCCCAAATGTCCGCTTTGACCCTCCAACGGTAAGCTAGCCCCGCACCTTCTGGAGCCGAAGCATAAGCGGGGCAGTACAGATGGGAAATCAAAATTATGTCAGTTCGAAAGAATGTTTCTACTAATCATTTCACCAATAAAAGGACAAAAAACCGTGATGTCATGTTCAGTTGAATGCAGCTGACTAAGGTAGTCATATCCTGAAAGCTTCGCGTTCGTACCGTGCTTTCTTCGGTATTTTTTATTGCATGATAAACGCTCTTGATTACACGATTAATGTGTCTTGTTGACTCCGATATAATTTTGTACTACTGTCTAAGTGTTTTTGCATTATTAAATGCGGTTTAAACGTGCACACACTGCAGCAAGCTGCGGTATTTTGTCACGATAAGATACAGTGTCCTATGGGAAATTGGAAACGGGCAGGTCAAATGTTGGCACCCAGAAGCGTGAACAAGTTTTTAGCCGGCAACGTTCGAAAGGGACATTGAAATGTGCCAACCTCCAATTCCACGTGAATGTCAGATGGAGCAGTTATGAAAACTTGACGATCAACACCAGGCGACTAAGCCGATAGCGGCAGTCGTCTGACAATGACCACCAAAGCAGCATTAGCCGTGTCAAACATGCCTAACGCGAGTGCTGCGTCGCAGTCTGCAGCCCGTCTTACGGCTTCCAGCTGGAGGTTTCCGTGGCAGCTTTTAATGGTAACGCACATCAACTTACGCTCTTCACTCCTAAAGCCACGTCCAAAAACGTCTGAAACCACATCACATCGACCCTGTGTCGATTACCGAAGCATGGTATTGATCGATTACCGAAGCATGGTATTGGTGATCGATGCCAAACCAGACGGTGATAATTCCCAACGACGTCTTCCGCCGAGGCAGAGTGAGGTAAGCGGGTTAAAGCAGTGCTGTAGTTTTCTAATCATTTGACTGCAAGTCAAACTACCTTGTGCTCAGAGAAAAGTGGGTCAAATTGGGAGGATGCATATTTTTAGTACAGTGAAAGCTAGGGCTTTCCAACTCAGCCCCCCCCCCCCCCCACCTTTTTTGCAAAGCTACATGTCTGCGGTCAAGGCTGAACGGCCGTGACACGTGACGGATTGGCAAGCGGATTACTGCAGCGTCAGGTCTAGGATTCAGGGCCCATTCCTAGAGCAGGGACAGGGCTGGTGCCCACGATTTACGTGGGTCAGAGCCGCTGAGACAATGAAGGGCTCTCTGTCGATCTGAGGACCACAGTGCATGACAAGGGTCACGTGTGGCAAAGAGCCCAGAATGGGCCTGAGGCAGCGTTTGAGCGGACTCGCAGAAGGGCCTTCGATCAGATGCCTGATTGGAAGGTACGAAGGGCTCGCTGCAGGTCACAATAAGGGACCCTAGTCTACAGCACCGGACCCTGAAATGTCAATCAAAGAGCTCTCGCACCGTTTGGGAACACCCTGGGACGATGAAGGCCTCTATTTTGATCAGAGGCCACCAACAGCGAAAAGTTGGCTCCGTGTCGATCTGAGACCTGGGAGTCCATTTCCCAAGCTGGGACACGCCATTCGCATTGGTTCGGATCTCTGGAACAATGAGGGACGTGCGCCGGTCAGGAGCCCACAGTGCCTAACAGAGGGTTCTGTGTCGGTAAGAGGCTCTGAGTCGGCCAGGGTAACACCTGCTGAACAGGGACAAAGACTCGACCCAGAATGCTAGAGAGTCTCTTGCATTGGTCGGGGACCTCAAGCAATGAAAGTGGATATGATTATTTACGATGAGAGTCCACAATGAGACAACAGAAGGTTATGTCCATGTTTCAGTCAGTCAGGGGTTTCATCGCAGCCCTCAACACCGTTTCTGCCAGAGGCCCGTCATGGTGAACTGGAGTATCTGTGCCAATGATTGGACACCTGCGCCGATAATGGGTATGTGTTGCGTCATTGAGAGCCCCTGCTTCGATCCAGACACAAATTTCCGGGTCAGGGGGCCTCCGGCGCCAGGCAGACGACCAAGTTGCACGCCGTTCCGCCAGAATTCCCAATACAGCCCCACACATACAGCCCCCGTTTCACCAGGAAGGCAGCCGGTAGGCACCCCAGGCTGGAGCGTATAGCCCCTTCAGCACCTGACCGGGACACGGCATGGGCCCAAGTATTCTACCCACTGATCCCTTGCTGGGAAAAAGGTAAGGGGTTTCCTTGGCGTTAAATAGGCGGGCCAAAATCACATAAATGATAATAAAAAGGCGCACACAAACAAGTTCATCCATCCAGGAGTGCCACTTTGTATGCTGTCGAAGTGCCTCAGCCTCCCCCCCCCCCCCCCTCCTTCCCCAAAATGCTGACTTAAAGAGAATGTTCCACATTTGAAGCTACAAAAAGCGTCAGATGTGATAAAGTCAGCTACGTTACTAGTGTTGGTGCATTTTTAAGCGGAAAAGACTGCTCTAGATGACAAAATTTGTCAATTTAGTCAATATGATTCCCATTGCGTCATTCCTGGATTATGTCATGGTACGTTTGTGTGACGTTGAGGTGCTGCCAAACTACTCGTGCGAAAATGCTACGTTAATACTCAAGTGTGGTACTTCAGCTCGTTGAAAGATGACGATGGCGGTGTTGGAAATGTTCGCTGAGCCAAATATCGGTATGTGCTCGTGTTTTTGACTGATACCCGCGGTGTTTTGCACATTTGTTGTGAGTTTAAGAAGTTTACTTGTATTTGTATGCTCGGCTATGTCACTATTCTCAACCTATTTGATCAGAAGTCTCATTTCCCTGATAACTACGAGCAATGTCCAACTTCCTATATTATGTAGCGCGGAACGTGATTCGTAATTGAACATTCGTCTCTCTTATCCTCTATCTTACTTCATCCTGCATCCTCACGAAACTCCACTTGTCCGGGATAGGCTGCATGCGTCGCCCACGAGTGGGCCGAGAGCCTCATAGGAAGGGGGACCGCGACCGGGTACCCGGCGCGCATGGGTCTGCCACGAGTGGGCCGAGAGCCTCATGGGAAGGGGGAGCGCGACAGGGCACCCGGCGCGCATGGGTCTGCCACGAGTGGGCCGAGAGCCTCATGGGAAGGGGGACCCTGACCGGGTACCCGGCGCGCATGGGCCTGCCACGAGTGGGCCGAGAGCCTCATGGGAAGGGGGACCACGACCGGGTACCCGGCGCGCATGGGCCTGCCACGAGTGGGCCGAGAGCCTTATGGGAAGGGGGAGCGCGACAGGGTACCCGGCGCGCATGGGCGGGCTAAAGCTCGGCGGCGGCGGTTGGAGCCCCAGGCGCATGCAAGCCTGCCCCACTGTTAACCATTTTCCTTTATCCCATAACCCTGAAATGATCATTTCCAGTCTAAAGGGTTCTAATTAAAAAAAGAAAGCCGATCGTGATTGAAACGTGCACAGCTTGCTCAATATTGAGTGAAAACCAAGAGATGTCCACTAGAGTTGCACATTGCGCTCACGGATTGGAAGGGCCCAACGAAAATACTATTATGAACGTTGAAAGCCGCATGGCCTACGGGGTGGCGGGTTTGAATGGCGTTACTATTGTGTTATGCATGCCTAAACGGTCTTGAGATAGTCAGCACGAAGAAGTCGCACATCTTCGCTGGCTTTATGTTAAGAAACTAGAGGGTATCAGGTTCCAAAACGACAGGACTGTGAGCTGCAAGAAATTATCTACCAAAAAAAAATGTTCATTTCAAAACCCCGTAGAATGTGGAACACTCTCTTTAATCTACTTTAAAGCTCTTCTGAATCCCACCCCAAATGCACATGAGCGGGAAAGGAAACATTGCGCCAATTCAATGCAGCTAGTGTCTGAACCGTGGGTACAGCACAGGCCCTCAACGCATCACGATCTGTAGCATAATATTTATATAGCATCATTATAATTGTCACACTGGCTTCAAAAGGGAAGGAGTTCCGCAACAACAATGCAGTTTGGAAACCGACGATATATTTGTTTTTAAGCCCAATTTTGACATCAAAGACACAAACCAAAATGAACGAAATCCGGGAGCTATCAGGACTTGACGGCAGGTGAGTTCAACTTAGTTGGCTCAGCTCCCCCCCCCCCCCTCTCATTTTACGAAGTTACATGCTGCTCCGTTCATCCATACTCCGGAGCAGCATGGCAAGCAAATTGCTTTTTAAAAAACTGTGAGCCTGCATACTCGCAATCTTCGAAGCAAGAGCAGGGATGGCCGAGGTTGCAGTTTCAGCGGGTGCCTGACACACGAGAACATCCGTCGTAAAATGATACCT